CAAATAATATTTATCTTTAATTAGATTGAGAACATGTTTAATTTTTAAATATCATGTTATTGGTGAAAATTTATCTTTTAGGAGATTTGGTTAATGTTTATATTTTTTATTATTGTAGATTATTTCTAAAAATTTTGAATTTGATATAAGTTTATTTAAAATACTTTAAGTTGTTACTTTTGGAGTAAATAAAGTCAATAAAAATTAAAATTTTCTTCACTTAGAAAAAATCCAACAAGTGGTATTTATGCTTTTCTTGGTCATGGGTATGTGAGACTTCACCTCATATTTTCACATGAGAAAATTATCAATTATGGGATGTAAAAATACAAATATATATACAATATTTTGATTTGTGGGATGGCGCATATATATATATATAATTAGAGATTGAATAATGAGCAAACAAATGTTGTTAAAGAAGAAAAATCTATTTTGAAAATTGAAGAGAAGTGCTCCAAAAAATTTTGATGAGAAATGCATCAAACAATTAAAAATTGATGAGAAATGCATCAATAACCAAAGGTTGGTGAGAAATGCATCAACAATTAAAGAGAAGTGCTTAAAAATATGAATATTAAATAAGATATATTGGAAAGAGGTGCTCCAACAAGATAAATTTGATGATTATAATTTTTACATTAAGGAAAAATATTGAAAATTAATGTAGAAATTATAATTTATTAGTTTGAATTCAAATATAATTTATCTTTAATTAGATTTAGAACATGTTTATTTTTTAAATATCATGTTATTAGTGAGAATTTATGTTATAGGTCAAAAATACCCCCGAGTTAATTTCTTATATTTGATACATTTAATTTAGTCTTTATATGTATTTGAAAATATATAATAAGGTTACGAACATAATTCAGAGTCAACTAGAATAAGCATGAATAGGCATGAAAAAAAGTAAAAACCTTTAAGATGAAATGGTATAATAAAAAGTTGTAACTTTTAGATGAAATAACATAATGAAAAGTATCAATTTTTAGATAAAGTAACATATGAAAAATAATAATTTTTAGATGAAGTGACATAACGAAAAGTAACAATTTTTAGATAAAGTAACATATGAAATATAATAATTTTTAGATGAAGTGACATAACGAAAAGTAATAATTTTTAGATAAAGTGACATGTAAAAAATGATAATACTTTATATGAAATAGCATGTGAAAAGTAGTAACTTTTTAGATAAAACGATATATGAAAAGTGGTAACTATTTAGATGAAGTGACATGATGAAATGTGACAACTTTTAGATGAAATTGTATGATGGAATAGTAGCAATCTTTCTCTCGTGGCTCCTTACTCCTATAAATAGGGGATGAAATAAGAAAAGAAAAGATATTCCAGATGAGAGAAAAATAGTGAGAAACATAAAAGTGAGGAAAAAAAGAGTACAAATTATATTATTTTTTAGAGTATTGTGAGTTTTTAGATAAATTTTTTGGAAAAACTCAACTAAATTTGTGAGAGTAAATGAAGAGGAAGAGAAGATGAGGAAGGCTCACAGTTAAAATAATATTATAAACTGTTAGAAAGGTAAGTCTTGTCTTAAGTTTTGAAGTTCAGTTTCTCTTTAATTTTTGGGATTAGTTTTTGAGTATTGTGTTAGATATTTTTGAATTAAAAAAGTAACTAAAAATCATTTCAAAATTTTGTCAAACTTTTGAGTGAAAAATATTATAAATAAAGTATAAAAATCTGTCAGAATTAAGATTGCGATTGCTAAGTATCTAAGGTTAGTGGATATTATAAATTAATTAGTTTATGTAATTTTGAAGTATTTTACGTATTTTCAGTATAAAATGTGAAAGTATTTTATTTATCTTTCGTATTTACTAAGTAAGTATTTGTTAAAGTTTTACTTTAATATAAGTATTATTTTATTTTATTTTTTCAAAATATGATTTGGATATGTGTACATCACTCATTATGAAAATGAATTTTTTCAAAAGCACTTGCATTATGCTAGGCTTCAATATGACACTATATAACTATTATGTGTTCGGGTGTATTGACGAAGTGATAAGTATGTACCCATACATAATCGTTCTGTATTTAGGTATATGGAAAAATAGTATGATCTGTGTGCCCTAACCGTTTCGTGTTCGGGGGGTAGCAGTGTTTCAAAATATTTATGTATGTCGTTCAGTATTTGGGTACATGGGGAACTAGTAATAAGTATATGTGTTTATGCATAATGTACGATAACTTATTAATCCTCTATAATAGTGATGAAGTATACAAAGAAGTAATTGTGAATTTATTTTTTGATTTTTGCATTCGTCTTCTAATTCGTATATCTATTTTAAAAAAATTATATGATATATGTTTTGTTGTGTAAAAAAACTATATATTGCATGTACTATATTGTGATTTTATAATATCGCTTATTGAAATATTTTATCTTACTTTCCTATTACCCTCCAGATTTTGAAGATACCGTTGCAGAATGAACAGTGATATGGAAAAAAGTTTTGAAGTTAAACTCTAAGATTAATGTTATTGTTTCATACTTTTATTTAGTAATGTAAGCTATAAAATTTAGAGATTCGTACATATGTTTATATTTTATATTTAAGATATATAATGTTTATGTAACTCTATTATGATAAATAAAGTTGTTTTACTTAACTCGAGTTTATGTGAATTAAGTAAGTATGTTCCGATTATTATCATATAAGATGGGTATAGTATGTGATAATTTATCTTTTAAGATATTTATTTAATGTTTATCTTTTAAATTATGGTAGATTATTTTTAATAATTTGAATTAAATATAATTATATTTAAAGACACTTTAAATTATTAATTTTGGAGTGAGTGAAGTCAATAAAAATTCAAATTTCTTCATCTACAAAAAAACCCAACACTTCATCCGTACATGAAAGATAGAATTGGAATAAATATGAGTTTGACTAACATTGTCACAATAGATAATAGGAGCAACAAAAATATAAATATCTAGCTTAGTTAGAAGATAACAAATCTAACGTATTTGAGCAATTGTTGTAACAACAAAATAATATTCAGTTTCTTTGGAGGATCGTGCAGCTGTGTGTTATTTCTTGGAAGACTAAGATATAAGATTACGACCAAAGTAAACAACATAAGCAATGGTGGAAATGTAGTCATCTTTATTACTAGCACAATCAGCATATGAGAAGGCATGAAGAGATAGAGATGCGTGACGGTGCAAAGTAAGACCATGGTCAACTGTACTATAATATAGTGAAGCAAACGCTCTACATCATTTCAATAATTCGTAATAGGTCAATAGATAAATTAAGACAACTTGTTAACAACGTATATAACATCAAGGCGAGTGAGGTATAAATATTGGAGAATTTCAACAATTACTCGGTACTCAGAATGATTAGTCAAAACAATACCGCAAAGAACAGCAAGTGTTGGCTCAATGACAAGTGGAGTGGTGACATATTTGATCCTCATCATATTTGTGCGAACAAGGAGATATGTGCTTCAATTTATATTTTGTGGTGACAAATTAAAAAATTCTAGTATTTAAGCTTAAAAATTAGGAATTTAAAGGGGAAAAAAAAGGAAGCAATAAATATTTTTTTAAACACACTTTTGTAAAGGTAGGTAGATGTAACGGGTGTCAGATGGTTAGAAAATTATGGTATAAATATATATATATATATATATGTACAAACAATAAAATATTAAACTAGAGTAATATATGTGGATACATCCGGCTGGGAGCCGGTGCATACCCAATTTAAAAAAAAAAAAAAGTAAAGAAAGTAAATTTGAAAGGTTTAGGAAGTAAAAAAGATTCCATTGACAATAATAATTATTTTAGATTTGATTTTAATATAAAATTTAACATTAAAATATCCTAAAAATATATATATATATATATATATATATAACAGTGCGAATTACCAGGTAATTAGTTAGTTAAGGGTTTTATATTACAAGTCCTGTAACTTAAATTTATTTGAATATATACTACTAATTAATTAATATTTCTGAAAAAAACAAAAAAAATGAAGCGGTGGAAGGGTCAACAGTGAGGATCATGTTCATGCAACGCGACACTTGGTTCTTTCCAACATTTCTACAAGAGTGGTGGTAAATGCAAAACGTGCTCAAGCCTAAAAAAAAAAAAAAGATCACCACGTGGCGTGATATTATTGGCTGCAAACATTGACAAGTTTCAATCAGAACCAAAATTAGATTTGACTTTTACATCAGAGAAAAAGATACAAATCGCTCGCACATCGGTACATAACACGTTAGCAGCCTCTCCTTTCCAAGGGGTCTAAAAATACAAATAGGACTCAAACAACTACTAAACGACAAAAATATCTACCCAATAGTTAAAATTATTTTTGAAAATAAAAAATCAAAACTATTTTAAAAGAAAATTACAGTTCCGCCAAAAACAACCGTAAATCTTTTGTCCATAAATGGGAACCCAAGCCCCAAAAAGTCAATACCTGATACCTGGTCTTTACACGTTAAATAACTCTACCAACTTCTCTTAATTAACATACTTGTTTCTCGCTTAATTTAATTTTTTAAAGTTCATGGCTGAATTATTTCTATCTTTTTCTCTCTTGTGAAAAGTAAGACACAAACCCTCTGCAAAATCTCTCTCTCTCTCTTCCCTGTCCCCCTAGTTTTAAGTCTCTCACTGTGTCAATATTTTTATGTACATCTTGATTTTTTTTTTTTTTTTTTTGGTCTCATTTTCAAAATCTGATCTTTGCGGATAATCCAAGTTTTTTGACTGATTGAACTTGGACCGTTGGATCCAAATCTCAGTCGCCGGAGATTGGTTGGTTGTTTGTTTGTTTCTTTGTCTCTCTGTATCTTTGCTGGATCTTTTTGTATTGAATTTTGGAGCAGAGAGAGAAGAAGCTGGTTTTTCAGTGTTTTTGGGTTTAATCATTGAGTTCTTTGGGTAATGTGAATTTTCGGGTCAGAGACTCTTATCAGAGCTGGTAGGTGGCTAAAAGCCAAAGAGAAAAGCAGATTGACTGGTAGCTAAGGGAAAGGATAGAGCTTATACAACAAAACCCTTGAAAGAGAAAAAGTCAGAGAGAGAGAAGAAAAACAAAAATTCATCTCTGAAAAAGTTACTGATAAGTTTTGCGAGATAAATTCTCTGTATTTTTCTCTCTATTTTGTCCGCTAGCTTGTTCGATTCCGAGAACAACCCTAGAGAAATCTTTTGCCAGCGCTCATGCCGGTCGACTTGGATAATTCCTCTACGGCTTCCGGCGAAGCAAGTGTTTCTTCCTCCGGTAACCAAAACCCACCTCCCAAATCCGCCGCCAAGAAGAAACGAAACCTCCCCGGAATGCCAGGTCAGTTGCCGGAAAAAGAATTTCGAAATTTTCTAGCTCATGAGTTTTGATCTTCTTTTGACTTTTTCTTTTGCGCTGCAGATCCGGATGCGGAGGTGATAGCGCTGTCTCCCAAAACCCTTTTGGCTACGAATCGATTTGTGTGTGAAATTTGCAACAAAGGGTTCCAGCGAGACCAGAACCTACAACTCCATCGCCGTGGCCATAACCTACCATGGAAGCTGCGGCAGAGATCGAGCAAGGAAGTGAAAAAGAGGGTTTACGTCTGTCCGGAGTCGACCTGCGTCCACCACGATCCGTCGAGGGCTCTCGGCGATCTCACGGGGATAAAGAAGCATTTTTGCCGGAAACACGGGGAGAAGAAATGGAAATGCGATAAGTGCTCGAAGAAGTACGCGGTGCAGTCTGATTGGAAAGCTCACTCGAAGATTTGTGGCACCAGAGAGTACAAATGTGACTGTGGAACTCTGTTTTCCAGGTTCTTTAGATAAATTCGATCTTCAATTTTGAATTTCGATTTTTTTCTACTCTGAATTGCTTTTAGGGTTTTGATTGTGTGTTTTTGTCGACTTGCTTGCAGGAGGGATAGCTTCATCACACACCGGGCGTTCTGTGATGCGTTGGCCGAGGAGAGCGCGAGAGCTAAGACTCAGACTCCGAGCCAGAACCAGAAGCAAGCCCAGACCCAGAATCAGGTAGTTGTGAATTCCAATCCAGAATCTGACTCGAATGTTCAAGCTATGGATTCGTCTCCTCCAGCGACGCCAGCTCCAGTGCCTGCAAAAGCTCAGGCTCAAATCACAACTCCATCTCCAGCTCCAGCTCCAGCTCCAGCTCAATCTCAAACCCAGGTTCCAACTCAGTCAACTGGAATGGTATTTTCTTCGGTTTTACCGGTTCAGAATTCAGGTAAAGTATGACCAATGTCTCAATTTTGTTATTTATTTGTCTGTTTCAGTTTTTGTTTTTACTAAATAACAAAATCTCTGGTCTTTCTTCTTTCTGTATATAGATCTTGGAGTGTAGTTGTTTTTGTCTCTTACTGATTTTTGTAGGTATTCTGCAATCTGTTGTTGGCTCAGTTGTTCAACTTAAAAATACATAGTGAGAGCTAAGCGTATACGAAAGTGGAACAAAAGATTTTTCTAAAGAAACTTTGTTTAATGCTAACAATATTCAATTTGTGCAATCTAGATAAAAGAAACTCGGTCGATCTAAAAGCTAAGAAAAGGGGATAAGTGGGTTTAGAGAAAGCAAACCATTATTGGTTCTACTTTTTCATCATAAAGTTTTTGCATAAAGAAGATCTAACTTTCCATGTCTGCAAGTTTTTTTAAGTGATCACTTTTCAATTTTCATTTTATTATTTTTTCTTCTTTTCTTTTTTGTTTCTGGCTCCAGAGATGCCAGAAAGTTCTACTCAAGTTATGGAAGAAGCTCCTATGACAGCCGGTCTGAATGGGAGCTCTAGTAGCAGCAATAGTGCAAGTAGCAGCAGCAGCGCCAGTAGTAGTGTGTTTGCAAGCTTATTTGCTTCCTCGGCTGCATCGGGAAGATTACAAACTTCTCAGCCACCTGCTTTTACTGACTTAATTCGAGCTGTATCAAGGCCTGATTGCCCAGCTGAACTTGCTCCCTCATCATCCACAGAGCCAATCTCTTTGTGTCTCTCAACAAGTCATGGGTCATCTATATTTGGGACTGCAGGGCAAGAGCGCAGACAATATGCACCACCACCACAACCAGCTATGTCTGCCACTGCACTACTACAGAAAGCTGCTCAAATGGGTGCTGCAGCCACGAATGCTTCGCTGCTCCGTGGATTTGGCATTGTGTCATCTTCGTCAACCTCTTCACAGCAAGAGAACTTGCAGTGGGGTAGTGGGCAAGTTGAGCCTGATAATGCCTCAGTACATGCAGGGCTTGGACTTGGTCTTCCTTGTGATGGAGGTTCTGGATTAAAAGAATTAATGATGGCAACTCCTTCTGTGTTTGGTCCTAAGCAAACTACCCTTGACTTTCTCGGACTTGGAATGGCAGCCGGTGGCAGCCCTACCAGCAGCCTGTCTGCTCTAATTACTTCAATTGGAGGAGGAATTGATGTGGCAGCAGCTGCAGCAGCAGCATCTTTTGGAGGCGGAGAATTTTCGGGGAAAGACATTGGAAGGACTTCATAATACGAATTGGTAAATGCGCTACTCCCAATTTAACTTGGGGAAACTTTCCTTTGTACATAGCCTTCTAGTTGTGGGCTGCTCAAAGTCGACAAAGAAGAATGTTCAAGGTCCAAATTTTACATAAAGGATTATCCTTGCAAAGGTAAGAATCAAGCCATCATAGGCAGTTGGGTCCTTTTTGAATGTTCTGGTTTCTTCTATAATAACTGTTTCCATAACATAGACTTGCAGTAGACTTATAAATCCGGAGACCCTCCATTACAGAAACCCAGAACCTTAAGTTATTATTACAATAGGATACCTGCAGTGAACTATCAAATGAAGAAACAAGTAGCAGCTTATCAAATTGCTGAGGAGTTTTGGTGAATGAACTCATACCATTGTTGTTTAGGGATTATCATGTTAGAAAGAAACAGAGGAAACAATTCATTGGGATGGAAAGTCACCATTGAATTTAGACTGGTAGCATAGACATAAACAGATCCGTAGGGTGGCATTTGTTGGCTGGGAAGTGAGGCTATAGCAATGAAGGGTTTCAGTTAATGTTGCTGTAAATTGAATCAAATTCAAGTTTGTGCTTTCTTGAACCCTCTTAATCTTATACCCTTGTGTTATAATATTTGGAATTAATGCGAAATCTTATTATAATCTTTATCTCAATTCTGTCTTCTTGTGTATGGATTCATGATGAAATATTGCCTGAGTGAAGAGTTGGGTTTGAGCTTTGTTGCCGAGATATGTTCAAGATCCATTTCTTCAAAATATTCATAGAGCAAAATCCTGTACTTTCAATCTTTAGAATGCAGGTGAATGTTAGATCTCTCTGTTCATGTCATTATCCTTAATTTTTCACAAATTGAAAACCATATTTTCTAGTAGCTGAATGAAATGGTCAGTTTTAAATGAGAATAATCTATTTCTTAAAAGTAAAAAAGATTATTTTTTTATAGTCAAATTGCGGAAGAAAGTATTTATTTATACGCTAACAAAAATTAAGACTCCTGGATATAATCAGCATAGAAAGTATCAACCTTTTAATTGTGTTCATAGAAAGATACAAAAGAGATGATTGATTTAATAGCTGCTGGTTAAATGATGGAATACAGTAAGTACCTCAAAAACCCAGAAATAAAATCTCATTTATTTAGAAAATTAAGGATAAATCAAGAACAACAGAGTCACTTCACAAGAGACAGTATCATCAGTTTCTACAGGAATTGAAATTAAAAATAAAACAATATGTATATTGAAGCAGAATAATTATATATCCTGTAATAAACCGTAATGTAGATGTGGGAGTGAGATGTATGTTGAACATTGATTCTCAAGAGTCAATTGTTTATTTACTTTTTTTACTCTTTTTGGGTAATAAAGATTATTCTTTAGTTTCAATAAATAGGAGTACAACTTTATGTTTTTCTAACTTGGGGTTGGGGATAAGATGGAAGTTATTGCAGTCAGTATGAGTCATTAATGGCCGCAGAATTAGACTGGGACCACAGAGAGATATACCCGGCAACAACACAGATATCAGAAATTTAAATTTTGGGGTAAATATATATATTTTTTTCTATAACAAAATTATATGAATATGGTAGAAGAAAAATTAAAAATTGATG